TCAGTCCTTCACCCAGGCTGGAGTGCAGTGGTACGCATGCTCACGGCCACCCCAGCGTCGACCTGCTAGGCCCTGGCGATCCTTCCGCCTTAGCCTTCCAAGTAGCCAGAACTACAGATGTGCGCTACCATGCCCAGCTATTTTTTAAAATTTTATTGTAGAGACAAGGTCTTGCCAAATTGCCCAGGCTGGTCTTGAAACTGTGGGCTCAGGCAATCCACTCGACTCAGCCTCCCAAAATTCTGGGATTACAGGCTGAGCCACTGAGCCCAGCCGCTTCTTCTTCTTTCATGCTGACATTGGAAGTAGAGCAGTAACTAGTTGAGAAGAGGCCTAGGAGGCCTCCTAGCAAGGTACAGCAAAAAAAAGGGCAGCGTGTAAGCCTGGATCCTCGCTCTGCAGCTTCCTAGCTGTGTCACCCTGATTAAATGACTTACCTCTCGGTCAGATCCTACTTCCCTACAAAAGAGCTGGACTAGATCAGTGGTTACCAAATGCTATTCGTAGGCTACCCCATAATTGCCTAGAACACTTCATATAAAACAGATCCCAAAGTCCAAGATCACCTGTGACTGTTGATATCACAAAACAAAGGAGACAACCAGACACTATGTACCTCCTGATGGATGAATACGAGGGGGGACACCCTAAAAAACATGGAATTGTCTTTTGGAGGGCAAGCCCCTCGTAGCACAGGCTTCCCCCGCTGGGTAAGTGTTCTAGGAACCTCTCTTTTTTTTTTTTTTTGAGTTGGAGTCTCACTCTGTCGCCCAAACTGGAGTGCAGTGGCCGCTCCCAGCCACCGCAGCCTCGACCTGCTGGACTCCGGCGATCCTTCCGCCTCAGCCTTCCAAGTAGCCGGAATTACAGGCGCGCGCTACCACGCCCGGCTGATTTTTTGATTTATTGTAGAGATGAGGTCTCGCCCAGGCGAGTCTTAAACCCACGGGCTCAGGCAATCCACTCTCCTCAGCCTCCCAAAGGCGTGGGATTATAGGCTGAGCCACCGAGCTTGGCTTTAGTCGATTTTTTTTGGAGGTTCTTTCAACACCTTTGCCCATTCATGCTGGGTGATTTACGAGCATACCTCCCTGCACTGTGCTGAGTGTTCAGCAGTTTTTGACCAAAACCAGCATGGCCTCCATGCCCCACCCTCCCTATTCACCGGATCTTACCCTGAGTGACTTTTATTTCCCTGGATGGAAAAAAGTCCTCAAAGGGAAATGTCTTGCGGATGTGGAAGAGGTGAAACAAAAAACAGCAGAAACACTAAAAGGCATTAAAATTGATGAGTTTGAAAACTGTTTTGAGCAGTGGAAAAAGTATCTCAATAGTATAGTGCATAAAACACAGAGAATTTTGAAGGTGACTGAAGTTTAACCATGCAAGAATAAATACGCAATTTTTTAATTTAAAAAATTCCAGTTTTTTGGGGTTCCCCTCATATAGTAACGCCTATTCTCTCACCACCAAAACAAACAAAAACCAAAATCTCATCAAGCTTCTAAAGCTATCAGTTTACAGAAAATACAGGAGACAGAGGAACATGTTAGGCAATACCATGGGAATTCAACAGGCAAAAGACTGTGGGAAATTGCAGGATGAACAACCTGGTATCATCAACAAATATGAGTAAGATGTAAGGAAATCTACAGATTGAGAGATTTAACTTTAAATCTAGGAGACTTACATATGTCCGTGAGTTGCTGACTTAGACAAACTGTAAAAAAACATGATGACACAGTCATGGGAATTTGAACACTGACCAGATATTTTGTTATACTAAGGATAACACTGGTTTTTTTAGATAGCACTAAAACTTACATTTTAGTGGAGTATTTAATCTGAAATATCTGAAAAGATATTTGCATTATATTGTTACATAAAAAAGGCAAGTTGCAAAACCAAATACACTGAAATAATCTGTTTGGAAACCTCAAATTTATAATTATGGAGATATTTAGATATCATTACATATACATCGCAAAGTAATTGTAAGGATAAAAGTGGTCATAGCTTAGGAAGCTGTGAAATCATTACTATTATTATTTTTCAGTTGGGGCTTCATTCTGTCAACCAGGTTGAAGTGCAGTGACACAATCACGGCTCACTGCAGCCTTCACTCTCTTGGCTCAGGTGATCCTCCTGCCTCAGTCTCTTGAGTAACTGGGACTCCAGGTATGCACCACCACACCTGGCTAACGTTTTTTTTTTTATTTTTTTGAGTTGGAGTCTCACTCTGTCACCCAGACTGGAGTGCAGTGGCCACTCCCGGCCACCGCAGCCTCGACCTGCTAGGCTCCGGCTTCCAGCTCAGCCTTCCAAGTAGCTGGAACTACAGGCGCGTACTACCACGCCCGGCTAATTTTTGATTTATTGTAGAGATGAGGTCTCGCCAAATTGCGCAGGCAGGTCTCGAGCCCACGGGCTCAGGCAATCCACTCACCTAGGCCTCCCAAAGTGCTGGGATTACAGGCTGAGCCACCGAGCCCGGCCCTTTTTAAATTTTTTATAGAGATGAGGTCTTGCTGTGTTGCCTAGGCTGGTCTTGAACTCCTAGCCTCAAGCAATACTGCCTTGCCTCCGGAAGTGCTGGGATTGCAGGCGTGAATCACTGCACCCATCCTATTGTTTTGTTTTGTTTTTTAAGTCAGTGTCTCAGTCTGTGGTCCAGTCTGGGTAATGGAATGAGACTCCAACTCAAAAAAAAAAAAAAATCTCTGACAAGGAGAACCAGGGAAGGCCATGAAGAGTATTCTTATGTTTATATGTCTGATAACAAAAAAACACAACCTTGCAAAAGGCTATAGCAACCTTTTTTCTTTTCTTTTTTTTTTTTTGAGTTGGAGTCTCACTCTGTTGCCCGGCTGGAGTTCAGTGGCATACTCACAGCCACCACAGCCTTGACCTGCTGGG